CCTACGTTGTGGACCAACGTAGTTATTACACGTTTAGATGTGCGACTGGGTTGGCCTCGCTGCACATTATCCCGCTTATTACACGCCCACACACTAACACACTAAGGACTTGACTCCCAATATTAATTTAAATGATTGTATTGACTTGAAAATGATCGTATTTCTTCCGCTAAGAAAGTAAACTCCGCTCCACGGCGCACCAACGGATGGAGCTTCGACAACAAGTGAATTTAGAATGAAGGCAGCTCTGACCAATGTTCTCTGTCCAAGTCTGTTCACAGCTTCCACAAACAAGTCCTTAAACCCGACAGAGCCCATACCGTGTTCCTGTTAGTGTTTACTTCCTGTCTTTCTGCTTCAGTTCATTTATTTGACTTCCAACGCTCTGTCTTTTAACCTCTTTCTTTCTCTCCCTTGATCCTCCTCAGCAAAGATCATTATTTGCAGTGGTTTGTTATAGAGTATCAATAACCTCTGAAATGTTCTTATTGACCAATCAGAATCAAGTATTAAACTAAGATGTGTAATAAATGCATAGAAAATATAATCTACAGACAAAAGCAGTGAAAGAACATCCCGATATACACAGGTGCACAAAGAGACAAAGAAACAACTCTCACAACAAACTCAATTTAAAATGGCACGACGACAATCATAAGATAACTTAACAAAGTAATGTCAGGCCTGGTGAATTGTTGTTGTACGGTGACTATGATGAAAGCTTTGTCACTCCGAGCATCATAGAGCATCCCTAGGGTGAAGGGTCGTCCCAGAGCAGCAACGGTCATTTGATCTGAGGCCATTTCTCCAACCTGTTGAGAAGAGACAACACAGACTTCAGAACCTGATTGAAACTTATGTTAAGGAGTAGGAGTGATGAGAGTTAATAACACTTGGAGTCTGACTCTCAACTGTGCTTAGTAATGCAGTATTTCCCTGCAGACACTAATCCAGCTGCTGTTTTACACAGAAAAGTAAAGTTTTTATTATAAATCTATATATATAGTCTGTTAGTCCTCACCTGGTGAAGTTGTGTAGATCAGCAGTTGGGTGAGAGTCTTCTGACTTCCAGCAGGAGCTTCAAGTCTGATGAAATGTGGTGTTGTGAGGTGACTTATATACTGTCAGATACTCTCCTCAACAGACCCCCTGTTCTCACACCTGAACACACCTGTCCAAACAGTTCTGACACTGATTGATAGTCTTTTCTGCCGACTTCTTTCATAACATGCTTCCAGAAATGACCTTATTCAAA